ATTGATAGTTCCAGTTATTTCCTTAAGTCCCTGTATGCATTAGGATCACCTGAACCGGCCAGTAATTTCGCCGGCGGCAACACATGCCGTTCTTTGCGGTTTCGAGCCTTCTCCCTGTCTGTCCGTCCGTCTGTCTCTATAAACGCGGCCTTTCCGGTTCCTGATATAATCTTTTTCCCTTTATGAAGAAAAGTCTTGTATTATTTGTTATATTTATATCTTTGCTCGGTAATTCAGTAAGTAGTTAATATTTCTTTAGTTAATTGTCCTGTATTGTTTTTTCTTTGTATTATGACTTTTTTATCCGGTCATTAGAATGTCTTATTCTTTCCATGTTTTTGTCACGCACTGAATAAAGTAGACAAGAATACGGATATATTCATTGCTGAAAGGAGTTGTCATGTAGTAAGAAAAGTTACGGCATAGTTACAAACTAAACTTGTAACCTTGCCATTTACGCAAATCCTTTCCAGATAATGGTGTGCATAAAATATTTATCTCTGTCCGTTAAGATTTCATGTTCGTTTCATTTTCGATTTTCTGTATGTCCACGTGCTCTTTTTCCAGGTATTCTCCAAAAGAGGTCGACAAGATGGTAGACGAGTACCGTACTTTGTTAACGAAACAGATGGAACACAAAATGGAGCCTACTTCGACAGAACTGGACGAATTTGGCCGGCTCGTTGCTCACGAAACTCATCAGGTTGCGGAACTGCAAATAGAGAGAAACAAGCATCTTCGTATGGCATTTGGAATCAGCGACGACTATGTGGACGGCAGTGCGATTAAAAACTGCAAGCCGAACGCTAACAACAAACCATCAGAAGATAAGCAACATGAGTAAGTGAAAATAACATGAAAAGCCTGTACTCTTTTAGATGAAATTAATAAGTAGTTGACACTTCTGCGGTGAAAGTTGTGTGCATAAAAGCAATTATGTTATGATTACTATCTCTTTTATATGCCAGGGCTTAATATTTTATAGTTCATGTATTTTCTTAGGGTATTTTATTGTTTACAGTTATTTCAGGAACGACGAAATAAATAGTTAATTTACCAACCAATATTATTGCACCGCATGTTTGTTCTTAATCAGATTGGAGGTTCGTAGTGCTCTAGCGTCTCTAGGCATGTATGCAAAACAGTATTATTTTTTTTGGAACAGATAACAATAAGTCAAACAGTGGGACTTAACTGCTTATTCTGATATTTTGTCTGGTCGAAGCAACTTCCTGTACTATCTCTAAAGGGAATTAATAGAAATAACCTAATGTTTTACCACGCAGAAGGTTCGTTAATATGGGAACCGAACATATTCAGCGGTTTATCTCTCTGATATACGACCATTTAGGCGATGATAAATAAATTACGTTTTATTTCAGGATGCTGTATATATTAATTTTGCTTTAGTAAGTTGTGCCCTACGTCATTTACTGCTGATACCAGTGTGACTGAGATAAACTTTTGCTCTTTAAGGCAGACGTTTTCCAAAAGACTTTGGCGTTGTTGAATTTTTACAGATGCGTTGTTTAGTGAACAGACCACAGAATTGAACAAGTCTGCGGCCGCGATCTCTATGAATAAACCAGAAGCAGGCGTTCCTAAGAGTACCAACGAGACGGTCTCGTCGTCTTCTTCTTCAGACAGTGACAGTGACTCGTTGGAAACTTCGTCATACAGCAAAGACAGCAGCGATAGCGACGACAGTAGTAGTAGCGAAAGTATGTCTGAATCAGAATCGCAGTCTGAATCCGAAAGCTCATCTTCATCGTCGGACGATAGTGATCGAAAGTCGGTTCGCTCGTCGCACTCGCATCGCAAAACGTACTCAGGTAGACGGGAGCGTGAGCGAGATCTTAAGTCTGATTTCAGACATTCCATGCGCCGGAGAGACGATGACGAAGAGGAGGAAAGAATGCGTAGAAGGCGTGATCATCGGGTATCGACTTCTAGACGCAGGTTCGATCGGTCGCCGGACAGCGACAGTCAGTGGCGAAGTCGATCCAGGAGTCATAATCGCAGGCATTCTTCACGCGACTCTTCCGACTTGTCCAAACATCGTCGGAGACACAGAAGTTCGTCGGGTTCTGATCACGGATGGCGAAACAAGCACGGCAAAAGCCGCAAAAACGAGGTCGATAGGCGCAGTCACACGAGGAAGCGTCATCGGCGCAGCAGCTCCCGCGAAAAGTCAGTTTCCAGTCATTCGAAGCTGTCGACCAGTTCTGACAATCATTCCGCATCTGACTCTGACAATACAAGCGACAGTTCTGCCAGCTCAGCATCGTACCATTCCGCAAAGTCATCTCGAAGCGGGAGGAAACACAGTCGTGCCTCACCATCGTTCATGGAAAGACGAAGAATCACCAGGTAACAATTAATTCATATTTCATCAGTTTTTTACTATGAAGTGTTTTGGGAAGATTTATTGTGAAGACTTACTGATTTGTTTTGAGGTCTCGCTCTCGGGAGAGAAAGAGTGATTACAGTAAGCATTCTACTAAACGTTACAGGAGGGAAGGCAGTGGTTGATTTGCTGAATATTTCTGATGGTCTTTTCGTTGTCACGACTGTTATGATTTCAGTGCTTTACGGTGTTTTGTTTTTTTTGTGAAAGCGATGTTGAAATTTTTCTTTTGTGCATGACTATACAGTGTTGCATGCGCGCTTAATCTAATGTCATTTGTGCGGCTTTTGTTTTGAATAAACTGATCATA